TACTTCGATTCAATATCCAACAGAATTTGAGTAGCACATCATGGGATCAAATCAATCTGCGAAGTATATTGCTATACAATATTTTGCTATAGGAGCATCATTAATCCCTTTTCTAGAACATAATGATGCTACTCGTACTCTTATGGGATCTAGTATGCAACGTCAAGCAGTTCCCTTAATACAACCTGAAAAACCCATAGTAGGAACAGGAATTGAATCTCATGTGGCATTAGATTCTGGAACCGTTCTGACTTCGTTAGAAGATGCTCATGTTCAATATGTAGATGGAAAAATATTCTTTTAATAAATAAAGATAAAGAAAAAATTAGGAGTAAACTTATTACATATGAAAGATCTAATAATGGAACTTGTATTCATCAAAAACCAGTAGTTACTATGGGAGCATCTGTTCGACAAGGACAACTCTTAGCAGATGGAGCAGCTACAGTAGGTGGAGAATTGGCATTGGGAAAAAATGTATTAGTTGCCTATATGCCATGGGAGGGATACAATTTTGAAGATGCGGTGCTAATAAGTGATCGCTTGGTACATGAAGATGTTTATACGTCTATACATATAGAGAAACACGAAATATCAGTACAAGAAACTAGTGAAGGGGTTGAAATACTTACTAGGGATATTCCGCATTTAGATAAACATCTTTTACGTCATTTAGATTCTCGTGGAATAGTTTCCATAGGTTCCTGGGTAGAAGCAGGAGATGTATTGGTAGGTAAGCTAGCTCCATTGGAATCAGAACATCTTCTACGTTCACCTGAAGGAAAATTATTACAGGCTATTTTTGGTGTTCAAGCAATTACTACTCGAGAAAGCTGTCTAAAATTACCTCCAGGTGGCGTAGGAAGAGTGATAGATGTAAGATGGGTTGAACAACAGAGTAATTTTACAGCTAGTATACATGTATATGTTTTACAAAAAAGAAAAATTCAAGTAGGTGATAAAATAGCAGGTAGACATGGGAACAAAGGTGTTGTATCCCGGATCCTTCCTCAACAAGATATGCCATATATGCAAGATGGTACTCCTATTGATATGGTTTTGAGTCCACTTGGAGTGCCATCAAGAATGAATGTAGGTCAACTTTTTGAGTGTCTTTTAGGTTTGGCTGGCAGTTGGTTAAATAAACATTATCGTATCACGCCTTTTGATGAACGATATGAACGAGAAGCATCACGCAAATTGGTTTTTTCTGAACTATATCATGCAAGAGAAAAAAGTGGTTATCCATGGTTATTTGAACCAAATAGTCCTGGAAAAAGTTGTTTATTTGATGGCAGAACAGGTGAAATTTTCGATCAACCAATTACAGTCGGCAAACCTTATGTTATGAAACTTATTCATCAAGTAGATGAAAAAATCCATGCACGTGCTAGTGGTCCATATGCGTTAGTAACCCAACAACCTCTTCGAGGCAGATCTAACAGGGGGGGACAAAGAATAGGTGAAATGGAAGTTTGGGCATTTGAAGGATTTGGTGCAGCATATATGTTACAAGAAATGTTAACAATTAAATCGGACCATGTGGTAGGACGTTCTAAAGTTCTTGGAGCGATTGTAGCTAAAGAACCTATTCCGAAACCCATGGATCCCCCAGATAGTTTCCGTTTACTTATTAGAGAACTACGTTGCTTAGGAATAGAAATTGGTCATACTATTATATCTGGAGATACTTTCCTTTTAAATCAAAAAGTCATTTAAATAGAGTGTGAATATAATCATTGAAAATTTTTTTTCTTTTACGTTAAAATTCATTCTTGCTAACTTTAAGTAGTGAATATCTTTATATAGTTTCTGAGATTCCTATGAATTCTATAGTTAGCATATGAAACATTGACTTGTTGCAATGCAATTTTCTTTCATACAAATCAGTTCAAAGTTATTTTTTTTATGGCGTAGAGAATAGATTTATGGTTCATTCAGATACTTATCAATATCTTCGTATAGGATTAGCTTCTCCGGAACAAATTCGTAGTTGGGCGGAAAGAGTTTTGCCTAATGGAGAGGTAGTAGGACGCGTGAGTAAACCTCATACTATACATTATAAAACTCACAAGCCTGAGAGAGATGGTTTATTTTGTGAACGTATATTTGGACCCACAAAAACTGGAGTTTGTGCATGTGGTAAATATCAAGGTATGGCTAATGATACAGATCATCCAGGCTTTTGTGAACAATGTGGTGTGGAATTAACTGAATCTCGAGTACGTAGACACAGAATGGGGTATATTCAACTAGCATCTCCAGTCACTCATGTATGGTATTTAAAAAATCGTCCTAGTTATATTGCACATTTATTAGAAATGCCTCTAAAGGATGTAGAAAGTTTAGTGTATTGCGATGTGTGACTTGAAAAAGTAACTACGTGTATGTAGAAAAGATAAACTCTACCACTTTGTAATAGTTAAAAAAGTGTCTCTGCATTCGATAATATAAATACTTAATATTTAAAACTCGATTGGGAATAGTGAGATTTTTCACAAAACCTTACTTGGAGAATAATCTGTCTATGGCTTCTAATTTGTCATTTTTCATGGCTCCGTAAACACATCAATATCGAATTTATGATAACAAGGATGGTTCTCTCAAACAAAATGCATCGAATATTTTGTCATGACATAAATAGAACCATCGGAGTAAAGAAGATGCCTAAAGATAGGTCTTTATCTCACGTTTGATTACAGACAAGATAAAACCCGTGTTCCAAAGAAATTTTTTTCTTTTTTATGAATCGCATAGATTCTTTATGGTGTATAAAGATAACTCAAGACGCATATTCATTCTTCCTAATTTTCTCTATTATTCATAGAATTTTTGGAATTCATTTATTGGCTGATTTGAGTTCTTGGTAACAGTTTCTTCTATTTGAATAATCGAATAAAAAAATATATTTATGACCACTTACTAGATTAGTTTTGCGAATGAAATTATCCTAACTATTTAGTAAACAAAATAAAAAAATGCAGACCATATTTTTAAGTAGATCAAATAGACAGAATTCTTACGTGAGCCGTATGATATGAAAACTTCAAGTACGGTTCTTAGGGGGGGAAAAGAATCTACCAGCTAGATACTTGATCTATCTCAATTCTTTTATTATTGGTCCTGGAACATATTCAAAACTTAGACTTTTGGGAACTCTAACACAAGGAGCTCATGAAATGACATATAAGCGTATACTAACACGAAAACGCTTATTAAAACGTAAATATGTATTACAACCTAAATATACTTCACAAGCAAATGATTCTACTACATTAGCCCATAAAATTTTATTGGCACGTGAGCGTTTATTACGATTAGCATATCAACCTATACTTGAACCTAGACTAAGTTGCAACAGATTTGATGTTCCTTGGCTAAGAGTTTTATGGCTATTTCTTTCTAGATGGTACCGTGACTGTGAAAGTAGAGAAATTATTACTGGAGGATATGGCATTCAAAGAATGCTAATGAATTTAAATTTACAAAGAAAGTTAGTCAATCTACAAAAAAGATGGGAAAGATTGGTTGAACAAACTGAAAAAATGTGGCATCCAGCTTCTGGTAAGTATCAAACAACTAAACACAGTGCTGACATTCAGAGAGAAAAAAGATTGATTATTAGATGTACTAAGATTGTGAGAGATCTCATACAATCAAGAATTCAACCAGAATGGATGGTACTTTCAGTATTACCAGTATTACCTCCTGATTTAAGACCTATTGTTGAACTCAGAGAAGGTCAATTAATTACATCAGACTTAAACGAACTCTATCGCAAAGTTTTATTTAGGAATGAAGAACTATTAATGTGGTTATCATATCAAGGTACTATTGTACTAGCAGGTTTGGTTGCACGTCTTCAAAGAGTCTCTTTACAGCGAGCTGTTGATGCTTTATTAGCAAATGGAATGGGATCATCGACTTTTCGAGATAATAACAAAAGAGTATACAAATCTTTTTCATCTTTAATTAAAGGGAAAAAGGGAAGATTCCGGGAAAATTTGCTAGGTAAACGTGTAGATTATTCTGGACGTTCAGTCATAGTAGTAGGTCCTTTATTAGCTTTGCATCAATGTGGTCTGCCTAGAGAAATGGCCATAGAACTCTTTCAACCTTTTATGATTCGAGAGTTAATTGCTAGACAATTAGCTCCAAATCTACGAGCAGCAAAGAGTATGATTCAAAACAAGCAACCAATTGTATGGAAAGTACTTCAAGCAGTTGTTGATAATCGTTTTATTGTTTTAAACAGAGCACCTACATTACATCGATTAGGAATACAAGCCTTCAAGCCTGTACTTGTGCGAGAACGTGCAATTCAGTTACATCCTTTAGTATGTGCTGGATTTAATGCGGATTTTGATGGTGATCAAATGGCAATTCATGTACCTTTGGCTTGGGAAGCTCAAGTGGAAGCTCGTATACTAATGTGGTCTCAAGCAAATCTTCTTTCTCCAGCTACAGGAAGAGCAGTTGCTGTACCAAGTCAAGATATGCTTCTTGGATTATATGTTTTAACTTTAGAAGGTGCTTTGGGTATATATGGTAGTAGAAAATTAGATCGCGAATATTCAGTAAAACAAAATTCTGGATATACCACTCCTGTCTTTTATGATTATGATGATGTATTAACATTTTTGCATCAAACAAAAAATACGCCATTTTCATTTTTATGGTTACGATGGCAACCAAATTATGTACCTGTCATTGCATCTCGCGAAGGACCTATTGAAATCCAATACGATTCTATGGGCCAAACAACAAGTATATATGAACATTCTCAAATACGTAGTAATCGAGAAGGCCTTACAGCTAGGTATATTTTAACTACTCTTGGACGTGTTATCTTTAATCAACAGATTCAACAAGCCATACAAGAACATATTGAATATACTAGACGATAAATTTTTTTCTACCATTCATAAACAATGAAATCTTACAAAAGAATCTTGAATACTATTGCATTCATCTACTAAACAATAAAATATTATCTTACTTATATATTCCTATTGAATATTCAATGATTGTCATCGCGATAATTGCATGATTTGTTGTTATTCACAACAAAGAATTCAATGGTTATGGCTCAGGCTTATACCCTTTTCTTATGACTTAAATCATAAATTATGAACAATTAACAGGTTATAAGTGAATTTATTCCATGTTTATCATTGGTACCAAAAGCATTTTTCAAATGATATTGAGTTCCGTTTAACAAATTAACTCAAAGTGTCATTCTTTTTACTTATTCAATATGGAGGTACTGACTTATGGCACGGCTCACAGCAGAGTATGGAGACATCATTTTCTACAATCAAGTGATGGACAAAGGTGCCATGAGACAATTGATTGGCAGATTGATGACATACTTAGGAAGCGAATGTACAGCACAAATTTTGGATCAACTCAAGACTTTAGGATTTAGACATGCCACTCAAGCAGGTATTTCATTAGGGATTGATGATTTATTAACAACTCCTTCAAAAACTTGGTTAATACAAGATGCAGAGCATCAAACATATACATCTGAAGAACAATATCGACGTGGATCTATTCATGCAGTAGAAAAATTACGTCACGTAGTAGAAACATGGCACACAACGAGTGAATACTTAAAACGGGAAATGAGTTCTCATTTTAGAACTACAGATCCATTAAATCCGGTCCATATGATGTCTTTCTCTGGTGCTAGAGGCAATGTATCACAAGTACACCAATTAGTAGGTATGCGAGGATTAATGTCAAATCCTCAAGGGAATATTATTGATCTTCCTATACAAAGTAATTTAAGAGAAGGTTTATCTTTAACCGAATATATCATATCTTGTTATGGTGCACGAAAAGGAGTAGTAGATACTGCTGTCCGTACTGCTGATGCAGGATATTTGACACGTCGTCTTGTCGAAGTTGTGCAACATATAGTAGTTCGTAATCCTGATTGTGAAACTTTTGAAGGGGTACGATTGCGTTCTATACAAGAGCGAAAAACATCTAGTCCTTTATTGTCTTTACAAGATAGATTAGTAGGACGCATTCTTGCACGTGATGTTTATCTAAATGGTCGTTGTATTGCAGTTCGCAATCAAGACTTGGCTCCAGATATAGTAAATCGTTTGGTTCTTTCTCACAATGAAATATATGTACGATCTCCTTTGAGTTGCAAAAGCATGCCTAGAGCATGTCAAATGTGTTACGGATGGGATTTAAGTTGTGGCAATTTAGTAGAACTTGGTGCTGCGATAGGAATTATTGCAGGTCAATCTATAGGAGAACCTGGAACTCAATTAACTTTACGCACTTTTCATACTGGAGGTGTTTTTACTGGAGATGTTGCAGAGCATGTACGAGCACCATTTAATGGTGTGGTTCATTTTTATACAGAAACTCTTCAAGCTACACGTAATCGTCATGGACGACCTGCATGGACTTGTCCCGAAGCTTTATCAGTTATCATAGAAGATGGCACAAATAAAAGACATATCTTAAATGTACCTCAATATAGTTTACTTCTTGTCAGAAATCATCAATATGTACAAGCTAGACAAATTATCGCAGAAGTTCGTGCAAGTACAGCTCCTTTAAAAGAAAAAATAGAAAAAGATATATATTGTGGTATAGAAGGAGAAGTATTCTATGAATACACAGGTATTCACGCATATTCTTTAAAACAACGAAAGCTTCTGGCATTAAGTTCTTTTCAAACCCGTCTTAGCTTATGGTTAGAATTCACTTCTCTTAGTACTTATTTAAGTCCGATTGTCGATAAAACTAGTTATATATGGATTTTTTCAGGTAGATTGACTGAATTTTCAGGTATTAATCTTTCTTTCTTATATAAAGTACAAGATTATATTCAAGCTGACTTACCTATAGGAAAAAACAATTATGTTGTTACTCAATACCAGTCGTTTTTTACTCCTTTTGAATATCGACAACGATTTTCTTTTCATACCTCAAAAATTCGAGAAAAGATTTTTAATAAACATACTGGTTTTTTATATCTTACAAGTGCAGATGATAAATGGATTCTGACTTTATCGGCAGTAGATCAATTTCACATAAGCATTGATGATTATGATAAGACATTTGTAACAAATGCGTATCAATATGCATACGGAAATGCTCCGTTAGAATATTATAAAAAAATTTCTAATGATCTTTTTTCTTATACGAAGAAACATATGGGAAATAAGCAAAAGATTCTTCTTATATCTTATTTATCCAATTTATGTGCTGATGTAGGTTTAGTAGGCCAATTTCATACTTTATTCGAAAGACTTAGTATTTCATCTTTAAAAACATTTAGTAATTTGATTCAATATGATTTGGCAAATAAATACGAACTCTTATTTTTTCAGGATTTTTTCCCTAAATTCCAAGGTTTCTCAAGAAATTTTGTTTGCAATACAAATTTTTTTGTTGACCAAAATGATAGCATTAATAAAATAAAGAACTCGGTTCTTTCTCTCTCTTTTCTACATTGGATGACTTCACTTTGTTTCAATAAACTTCTTACCAAACCACAACCGCTGTTAGCACAATCTATATGTAAAGGTGTAAGTACATTAGCTTATGGTATGTTGCCTGAATCAGGACACATAGTAGCTGTGTCTGAAAGTTCTATAACTATTCGATTAGCCAAACTTTATTTAGTACCTGCAGGAACTGTAGTACATGCTTATCATAAACAGGTGATCCACGAAGGAGATACTTTAATTACTTTTGCATACGAAAGGCTGAAAGCAAGTGATATTATTCAAGGACTTCCAAAAGCTGAACAACTTTTAGAAGCTAGGATAGGAAATCAAGTAGTAGTTCATTTGCATATGCGTTTCGAATATTTAGTAGGTCGTATTAAAGAAAATCTTCGTAATTACGTTGGTAGTCTTGCCCAGATGGATCTAATGTTATCTCAAGCATCTGTCAATAGAGCGAGGAAAGCTTTAGAATATAGTCAAATCGAAACTGTAGATCAAATTCAAAAAGTCTATTTATCTCAAGGAGTATATATTTCAGATAAACATGTAGAAGTTATTGTAAGACAAATGAGCTCTAAAGTTGTCATTGTTGAAAATACTGATCTTACAGCTTTTTCACCCAAAACAGTTATAA